CCTCATACCAACGGGTCTGAATGGTCTAATAACTGGGCATTCGGTGATGTAGTGTGGGAGATCATGCCCCAGCTCCTGCTCACAGAGTTTGCACCTGGAGTGCTCAGGATTGGGAGATCCGTCACCTGCAACCACCTGCCACAGGTAACGGTAACCCAACCTGATCCTTGGATCATCAGCAGTAAAGACAAACTTCAGGAAGTCTTGGGAGACTTGTGGACTCATTTCAGAAACAGAGGCCACCCAGAGAAGACTTTGTTCCACATAAATCTTAGTTTGTGGGGCATGAAGACGGACAGACAAGACCTTCACAACGGAACACGGCCACGAAACACGAATGAGACGATAATCCTTCCTCAAATTTATTTTCCAGGTAAAGCAGGAGCTTTTCACCAAGAACTCCTCACCTTATGGCTTAGGACCAGCTACGGGGGACACCCAGCCTGGCCCTCTTCCCACAATACCTCCGATGGTGGCATGCTCCAAAGGCAGATCACTGAGACCCGTCGAGGGGCTGCTGGGAACAGCCAAACCTCCCACACTTGTGACACGGTTAAGGAAGACCTACGACTAAAAAGATTGATGATTGATGAAGATTAAACCACCGAAAAGGTGGCACGGGCATGAATAGCCCGTAAGTGGTGGCCCTTTTGAGCTTTACCAGTATCAAGAGCTGATACTGGAGATCTGTGGAGGTGCGACTGCACCCTGCGTGACGGGAGATGTCTCCCGTGGAAATGAAAACGACTAAAAAGTCTAAGAAATTTGAAGAGAGGAAGCATGTTCTTCTTACAAACTTCTCTTTGCCTTATTCTTAAATAAACGACGTTGTTCGTCATTTAGCACTAGCGACCAGTCGTCAATCTTACGACATAGCGCAGTAGTTAAGTGTTCAACAGCCAGTGAGCGAATATCTAACGTAAAGGAAGTTCTTAGTCAGGGATATTAGTTTTGGCGCAACTTTGAGCCGCTGCGTGCCAACTGAGGCACGCCCCGACCTGTGCAAGGATCAGCGAGACGGCAGCGGCCTCCAACCCCCATTGTGGGGAGTCATTCACCGGTGCTGCCCACGCCAGCACTCACAGCTGCTCCTAGACAACACCCTGTGTCCGGAACGCTTATACAACACGAAGGTCGTCGAGTTGACGGCTATAGTCACTATGTCAAATCTTCCCAGACACCTGGCCTGCTACACCCAACGGCCCCCGGTGGCCTGCAATACACCAGCCTCTAGCATGCTGTATACGGACCTGCAGCTGGGTATACAGGTCAAGTGATCTGCAAGGGTGGCTTCTGATGAAATGAGGTCATCATGCAGGTCCCACAGCTAGACCTGCGACCTGCTCGCCCTGTACACCACACCTGCGACCTGCCCGCCCTGTACACCACACCTGCGACCTGCCCGCCCTGAACACCACACCTGCGACCTGCCCGCCCTGTACACCACACCTGCGACCTGCCCGCCCTGTACACCACACCTGCGACCTGCCCGCCCTGTACACCACACCTGCCCGCCCTGTACACCACACCTGCCCGTCCTGTACACCACACCTGCCCGCCCTGTACACCACACCTGCCCGCCCTGTACACCACACCTGCGACCTGCCCGCCCTGTACACCACACCTGCGACCTGCCCGCCCTGTACACCACACCTGCGACCTGCCCGCCCTGTACACCACACCTGCCCGCCCTGTACACCACACCTGCCCGCCCTGTACACCACACCTGCCCGCCCTGTACACCACACCTGCCCGCCCTGTACACCACACCTGCGACCTGCCCGCCCTGTACACCACACCTGCGACCTGCCCGCCCTGAACACCACACCTGCGACCTGCCCGCCCTGTACACCACACCTGCGACCTGCCCGCCCTGTACACCACACCTGCGACCTGCCCGCCCTGTACACCACACCTGCCACCTGCCCGCCCTGTACCCCACACCTGCGACCTGCCCGCCCTGTACCCCACACCTGCGACCTGCCCGCCCTGTACACCACACCTGCAGCAAGCTTCCCTGTGCCTCGCCAGTGACTCTAAACACCAAACTGTCATAGCGAGACCCATAAACACGCCCTCGCGGCCAACCTCAGCGACTCCACACTGTCACACTACACCAGGGGGAGCACCATTGTCCGCCCCAGCATTATGATGCAATACACGAGGCTCCAGGAGATGCTCCGGCAGGTCTCCATCAGCTGGCAAACAGCGTCACTCCTGCTGATGGAAAAGTGTCACTCCCGCTGCTTTCTCATCCTCACTTGAGCATCGTAATTTTCTAAACTGCTTCTAAGGCCTCTATCGCGACTCTGGCCGGGAGGTAGAAGACGGCCTCCTCCGAGGTCAACCTCTTATGCTGCTCCTCATCACCTCCTCCTCCTCCGCCGGCACAGCACTCAAGGAAGCACGCTGCTGCTTGTCTGTGTTTGCACAGACATGCAACAAGATTCATCATCATCATCAGCAAGATTCATTCATCAAGAGTCATCAAGATTCTGAAAAGAGTAAAGGCTGAAGGCGTTTACACGATAACATAGTTGGACCTTAACAGGTTAATGGTTACTAGAGTTCAGTTCCAGTAAATGCAATGTTATGAGACTAAACTAAGGAGAAAGAAGGTGAGAATGTCAACAGAGCACACGCGGGGGGGGGGGGGGGGGGGGGGGGGGGTGACAGGTGGGTGACCACAACACATTGTTTACTCACTATTAACCATCATCACCAGAACTCTTGAGTAACAATAATAACGATGAATTAAGTCACCGCTGAGAGTCACGGAACAATGGGACGTTGTTCCATTGGGACAATGGGACAATTTATACCTGAATGAAAAGCCTCTGAACCGTCGATTTCAAAATGGTGCTGAAAATATCGAACAGAGAGAACCAAATTTAAATCTAAAATGGATATAGGACATTTATGTATTGGTGTGGCACTAGAGTGAGAGTGATGCCTGCCCTCTGGCCTCTACAACAGTGTTTGATCCGCGAGCAATTGTCGCCTCCAGCACACAGCCACAGTGACCGGCAGGCTGTGTGTGCCTGTGCTCCGATTTGTATGTCTGAGCGGTCAATTGTTTCTCACGAAATGAGTTTATTGGCATTGGTCAGTTTTGTGTGGGTACGCGGTGCCGGCCGGGTACCCGAGGCAGTAGACAAACACTCGTGGCGCCTTCGGAAGGAGTCTCAGTGGGACCTGGTCTTCCCTGAAGGATGTAGTGAAGCGAGCTGACCCCGAGGATCAGGAAGATGATTTAGGAATGACACCTGGTGGATGACTCCAGCTCTGGCGTCAGCCTCTAGTCATCACTTACATATAGTGGTGCTTAAGTCAAGTGGCCGAGGTGTTTACTTAATTAATGTGGTGTTAATGTGATGAGTGTGAGTCGTTGTGATGAGTGATGACAAGCATCACGGCTCATGTGATGAGTGTGAGTCGTTGTGATGAGTGTGAGTCGTTGTGATGAGTGATGACGACAAGCATCACGGCTCATGTGATGAGTGTGTCGGACACGGTGGGGGGGGGGGGGGAAGAGGGGTTTCAGTGTCATAGAATCATTCAGCAGGTGTCTCAGGTCAGGTATCACTGGGGGTCGAGTACATATGACACTACATATGTACGTCCTTGTTTGCAGATAATTAAAAAAAGTTGTTTCTTGTATAAATACTAATTCCATGATGGTACTGACGTCCAAGCCAATGAGCGGGCAGCATCGCTGGGCTGAGTGCCTGACGTCACTCACACTATGGCTGACACCCATGTCTGTTTAACTGCTTTTATCAAACACGTTCAATCAACAGAACAAGGAAGTCATGGGCCTGATTCACGAAGCAGTTACACAAGCACTTACGAACCTGTACATCTTTTCTCAGTCTCTGGCGGCTTTGTTTACAATTATTAAACAGTTAAGGAGCTCCGAAGCACCAGGAGGCTGTTTACAATAATAACAACAGTTGATTGGGAAGTTTTCATGCTTGTAAACTGTTTAATAAATGTAACCAAAGCCGTCAAAGATTGAGGAAAGATGTACACGTTCGTAAGTACTTGCGTAACTGCTTCGTGAATCTGGCCCCCTATTTCCACACCCTCGTGTCTCCTACGAGCACCCCCTCACCCCACTCCCCCCCTCCTCTTCGTGGACTAATATTCAAATAAAGATAACACCCAACTCCTTAAGCTTTACGGGCTCGCCATAGCCCGTGCTACATGCAAATTTTGTTCCCAGGAGCTGAATCTAAACAAACAACATCCTTAAGCTCCAGTTACTGCCCCGCTCCTGTGCCAGGTAAGTCCACTACGGGATCACCATAGCCCGTGCTACTTGCTACTTGAACCCTACACATCGCAAAGTTGGGGCAAATCGTCCGGACAGATAAACAGGTGAAATGGGCAAGTAGGACTTACCTTGAGGTTACCTTGAGGTGATTCCGGGGCTCAGCAACCCCGCGGCCCGGTCGCCAACCAGGCCTCCTGGTTGCTGGTTGACCAGTCCAGTTGTGCAAGTAGCAAGTAGCACGGGCTATGGTGAGCCCTAGTATTGGCCAAGGGGATTACTGCAGTGTACCTGGTAGTTACCTTACAGGCGGGCCGTGTTCCAAGGGGTACTAGTGGGTAAGGCTTACCATGAACTATGGGACGGAAAAGCTCTCTGGCCGCGGACAGGAGTCAGGTCGTCAGGTCCTGTACCACCTGTCTAACACACTGGACGGAACAGGCAGCGGGTGTGAGCGGTGGGACGGAGCAAGCTGAGCGGGGAATTACCATGCCAAGGGAGACATGATGGAGGGAAACAGCAGAGAGAGGGAGAGAGGAAGGTATCAGAGAGGGAGAGAGGAAGGTATCAGAGAGGGAGAGAGGAAGGTATCAGAAAGGGAGAGAGGAAGGTATCAGAGAGGTAGAGAGAGAGGGAGAGAGGAAGGTATCAGAGGTAGAGAGAGAGGGAGAGAGAGGTAGAGAGAGAGGTAGAGAGAGAGGTAGAGAGAGAGGGAGAGAGGACTCACCAGGCAGGACAGCAGGCCGGCCACGCACGTCCAACAGCTCCGACTCATCCTCCGAAGCACTGCCAAAAGAAAGGTTACTCATATAATTCAAACTGATTCGGTGTTATTAATATTTTTAATCTAATTAACTGTTTGTATGTGTTTTGAAATGGATAAACAAACTTGTTTTCTGCCCACAGGAAGGTCACCCATCCTGTAGACAGTGTCAGGAAGGTCACCCATCCTGTAGACAGTGTCAGGAAGGTCACCCATCCTGTAGACAGTGTCAGGAAGGTCACCCATCCTGTAGACAGTGTCAGGAAGGTCACCCATCCTGTAGACAGTGTCAGGAAGGTCACCCATCCTGTAGACAGTGTTAGGAAGGTCACCCATCCTGTAGACAGTGCCAGGAAGGTCACCCATCCTCTGGACAGTGCCAGGAAGGTCACCCATCCTCTGGACAGTGCCAGGAAGGTCACCCATCCTGTAGACAGTGCCAGGAAGGTCACCCATCCTCTGGACAGTGCCAGGAAGGTCACCCATCCTCTGGACAGTGCCAGGAAGGTCACCCATCCTGTAGACAGTGTCAGGAAACTTACATAAACAAATAATGGGTTTAGGAGCTGGACACCAATATTCCCCATGACAGCCTCCCCTCAGCTGGCCAACTTGGGGAGGGGAATTTGGCCCAAAGTTTGGTGGTAATATATGTATTATCTGACGAAATATTTATACATTTCTTGGACACCAGTAACGAGAGTCGTCCCTAAACTGAGATTTTTCTGACATTGATAGTGATGAAGGGTTTGTGAATAATGTGACTGACACCGGCTGCTTGATCGTCAGCTCTGCGTCAGCAGACAACGTTAACTATGTCAGAAGTGTGTTATATAATTGCTGCAGAGTCTCTGCTCACAGGCAGCAGGGAGGGAGCCGTCTACTCTGCTGATTATATTGGATCAGGCCGATGGGCGTTGATTGGTGTTAATGTACCTTGGGTGATGGTGTACTCTGCTGGGGACGGTGTACTCTGCTGGGGATGGTGTACTCTGCTGGGGATGGTGTACTTTGCTGGGAATGGTGTACTCTGCTGGGGATGGTGTACTTTGCTGGGGATGGTGTACTCTGCTGGGGATGGTGTACTCTGCTGGGGACGGTGTACTCTGCTGGGGATGGTGTACTCTGCTGGGGATGGTGTACTTTGCTGGGAATGGTGTACTCTGCTGGGGATGGTGTACTCTGCTGGGGACGGTGTACTCTGCTGGGGATGGTGTACTTTGCTGGGGATGGTGTACTCTGCTGGGGCTGGTGTACTCTGCTGGGGCTGGTGTACTCTGCTGGGGCTGGTGTACTTTGCTGGGGATGGTGTACTCTGCTGGGGCTGGTGTACTCTGCTGGGGCTGGTGTACTCTGCTGGGGATGGTGTACTCTGCTGGGGCTGGTGTACTCTGCTGGGGCTGGTGTACTCTGCTGGGGATGGTGTACTCTGCTGGGGCTGGTGTACTCTGCTGGGGCTGGTGTACTCTGCTGGTGATTGTGTACTCTGCTGGGGCTGGTGTACTCTGCTGGGGCTGGTGTACTCTGCTGGTGATTGTGTACTCTGCTGGGGCTGGTGTACTCTGCTGGGGCTGGTGTACTCTGCTGGGGCTGGTGTACTCTGCTGGTGATTGTGTACTCTGTTGGGGATGGTGTACTCTGCTGGGGCTGGTGTACTCTGCTGGGGCTGGTGTACTCTGCTGGGGCTGGTGTACTCTGCTGGGGCTGGTGTACTCTGCTGGGGCTGGTGTACTCTGCTGGGGCTGGTGTACTCTGCTGGGGCTGGTGTACTCTGCTGGGGCTCTGCTCTGGCCATCTCACCAGTTGCATCAGGCAGAGAGGTAAAGCCAGACACATACACAATCTTTAATATCGTTGTCATGTCTGCGTGCTGCTGATTCAGATACAAATATCTTACAATTATGTCTTCCAAGTGTTGAATAATGAACGTCAAGGAGCGCCTTAAAATTAACGTGGCAATGTTGCACATAAAAACACATTTGAGTGCAAGAAGTGTAGCGGATATTTGGGTGTAGGAGAGCTGGGGCCCAGGTGTGTGGTGCCTCACAGCTGGGTGTAGGAGGGCTGGGGCCCAGGTGTGTGGTGCCTCACAGCTGGGTGTGGGAGGGCTGGGGCCCAGGTGTGTGGTGCCTCACAGCTGGGTGTGGGAGGGCTGGTGGCCCAGGTGTGTGGTGCCTCACAGCTGGGTGTAGGAGGGCTGGGGCCCAGGTGTGTGGTGCCTCACAGCTGGGTGTGGGAGGGCTGGGGCCCAGGTGTGTGGTGCCTCACAGCTGGGTGTGGGAGGGCTGGTGGCCCAGGTGTGTGGTGCCTCACAGCTGGGTGTAGGAGGGCTAGGGGCCAGGTGTGTGGTGCCTCACAGCTGGGTGTAGGAGAGCTGGGGCCCAGGTGTGTGGTGCCTCACAGCTGGGTGTAGGAGAGCTGGGGCCCAGGTGTGTGGTGCCTCACAGCTGGGTGTAGGAGGGCTGGGGGCCAGGTGTGTGGTGCCTCACAGCTGGGTGTAGGAGGGCTGGGGGCCAGGTGTGTGGTGCCTTACAGCTGGGTGTAGGAGGGCTAGGGGCCAGGTGTGTGGTGCCTCACAGCTGGGTGTAGGAGGGCTGGGGGCCAGGTGTGTGGTGCCTCACAGCTGGGTGTAGGAGGGCTGGGGGCCAGGTGTGTGGTGCCTTACAGCTGGGTGTAGGAGGGCTAGGGGCCAGGTGTGTGGTGCCTCACAGCTGGGTGTAGGAGCAACCCGTTCTCGCAAATTTAATAAGTCAATATTGACTTATTAAATATGTGCATAGGTGATATACTAAACATAATAGATACCCCTAAAAAGATTCATAGAAAACACCGACCTTACCTAACCTTGTTAGTATCTTAAGATAAGCATCTTATTGCTTCGTAATTACAATTATTACCTAACCTATAATAGGTATAGGTTAAGTAATAACTGTAAGCAATAAGATGCTTATCTTAAGATACTAACAAGGTTAGGTAAGGTCGGTGTTTTCTATGAATCTTTTTAGGGGTATCTATTATGTTTAGTATATCACCTATGCACGTAGTTAATAAGTCAATATTGACTTTACGAATTTGTGAGAACGGGTTGGTAGGAGGGCTAGGGGCCAGGTGTGTGGTGCCTCACAGCTGGGTGTAGGAGGGCTGGGGCCCAGGTGTGTGGTGCCTCACAGCTGGGTGTAGGAGGGCTGGGGGCCCAGGTGTGTGGGGCCTCACACCTCGACTCATTACTCATCGTCAACTATGGTCGACTTAAGACCAGTTCCAACTTTTTATACTCATCTAAAAATACTCAACAGTAGAGATGAGTTGTTGCTGCCTCATCTCTTCCTCTTAATTGACAACTTTTTCTTTCTGGTTGCGGTAAACTACGTCACAAATGCAGCCTATTATCAAAATTAATGGCTTACAAATATATATATCGCTTTGTCAGGGGCAGGGAGCCTGTGTGTATATATATATATATTCGATTTCTTTTCCGCCCGGTAATCGAATCTGGGATCCCGGAGTGTGAGGCGAGAAAGAAGGCCACTCTGCTACGAGAACCCCCACATCTCCGTTTTCTATGCATAGGACACGACGGGTTAGGTGGGTGGTTGGGGTTAGCGGCTTGGCCCAAGAGCCGGAGCTCAACCCCCGCAAGTACAACACGGTGAGTACACTCACACACACACGTACAAGGGGCCTCCCCGGCTGCGCCCGGGGCTCCTTCTCCGCCTTGTCAACACTTTCTCCCCAAAAGTTTTCACTCGTTCGAGCTGTTCCTCTTGAAGCTTCGTGTTGTGAAGTGTCTGAGTGGAGCTGCCTTCTCCCTGACTCACCTGTCCCCCCGGACTCACCCGTTCCCCCTGACTCACCTGTCCCCCCTGACTCACCTGTCCCCCCTGACTCACCTGTCCCCCCTGACTCACCCGTCCTCCACTATATTCCTGTGTGACTGTAATGATGTTTCAACTTTTTCTTAACTTAATTAAAGTTCCTTCAGGGGTACTTGGCTGACTATCTTAACCTCTCCTCGGATCCTGTGTCTCAGGGCAAGTGGTGAGTTAAGTGGTGAGTAAAGTGGTGAGTGATATACATAGATCTATGAGGAAAGATGAGCTGTTATTATCGACAAACTCTGTGGCTTGTTCATTGATGTTGTCGCGTGCAAAGTTCAGCGATGTTGAGCTCCACTTTGGGGTGGAGAAGGTACCTCTCTGCCCCCTTCCCTTCACCACTCACAGGATGGTCATAGTGTGCACCACCACCACTCACAGGATGGTCACAGTGTGCACCACCACCACTCACAGGATGGTCACAGTGTGCACCACCACCACTCACAGGATGGTCACAGTGTGCACCACCACTCACAGGATGGTCACAGTGTGCACCACCACCACTCACAGGATGGTCATAGTGTGCACCACCACCACTCACAGGATGGTCACAGTGTGCACCACCACCACTCACAGGATGGTCACAGTGTGCACCACCACCACTCACAGGATGGTCATAGTGTGCACCACCACCACTCACAGGATGGTCACAGTGTGCACCACCACCACTCACAGGATGGTCATAGTGTGCACCACCACCACTCACAGGATGGTCACAGTGTGCACCACCACCACTCACAGGATGGTCACAGTGTGCACCACCACCACTCACAGGATGGTCACAGTGTGCACCACCACCACTCACAGGATGGTCACAGTGTGCACCACCACCACTCACAGGATGGTCATAGTGTGCACCACCACCACTCACAGGATGGTCATAGTGTGCACCACCACCACTCACAGGATGGTCATAGTGTGCACCACCACCACTCACAGGATGGTCATAGTGTGCACCACCACCACTCACAGGATGGTCATAGTGTGCACCACCACCACTCACAGGATGGTCATAGTGTGCACCACCACCACTCACAGGATGGTCATAGTGTGCACCACCACCACTCACAGGATGGTCACAGTGTGCACCACCACGACTCACAGGATGGTCACAGTGTGCACCACCACGACTCACAGGATGGTCACAG